TCTATCTCTATCTAGGTCCGAACCCTTTGCATGGGTGCCCCGGGGGGTTTATATAGGCCTACCCCCCGGGGGTACAATAGGCATCCGGCTGGGCGCGGGTCCCAGTCGTCTGTCTCTCAGGCCGCCGTCCTCCCCGCCGGCTTCTGGGGCCGCCGAATGGCGGGTCCCGCGGACAGGCTTGATACTGTAGCGGCACTCCTGATGACGCAGGCTCGGTCATTGGGTCGTGGCAACAGTGCCGCCATCTATCGGGCGATCACTATCGCCATTCCCCATCCTATCTGGTTAATGGCTCGTGGGGCCCTGGGGAGGAGTCGGCCGACTCCAGGGAGGCCGACTCCCATAGGTCCGTCTTCGGGGCGCTCAGGCCGCCTTCGGCCCACCCACTGACAGGCGGCCCCGTCGCCTTCGGGTTGTACAGGCTGGCGTCGTGGGCACCGTGTGCTGCACACTGTGGCTGAGGTCAGGGCAGGCATGGCAAAAGTGTCGCGCCTCGCCGGAGATCTTCCAGCGATACGGCTCACTGTAGCCATGCCGACCCTTCATAAGCAGGGGGGAACGGCCACGCCGTGATCATACCCCGCATCGTACTTCGAGATGAGGGAGGAGTCATGGGCCGACTCTCCATAGTCGGCCTCTCTGGAGGTCGCCAGCTCGGAGTCGGCTTATCTCGGAGTCGCCGTCTGGGACTCGGCTTGTCTTGGAGTCGCTCCTGGGACTCGTCTTGAGGGGCGCGGCCTGCCCCGATGTCTTGAAAGGTCCTTGGACTCGGGTTAGCCTACCCGTGGCCCATTACTCCGACACCGCGGCTTAATGCGGAGGAGCTCCTCTTCTTCTCCTTTATACAAATTGGACAATATTCTCGCCAGAGCGGTGGCGGAGTCCGGACCTTTACGATCGCAGCGGGTGGCGTCATCTTCTCCATTGAAGTGCCACATGGGTTTCCCCCGATATTGAAGTGGCTGCACCCCCTGTATTATGCATATTGACATAACTTCTATTATTGTCAGTCCTGATTGGGCCAGTATTTTTATCCTGCCCATCAAATAGAGGACTTCCCTGTCGTCTTCCTCCTGGGGGCTCCGAGGGCGCCAACTTTGGCGTTTCTTTAGCGGGGCATTGGTGAATTCAGGAAGGCCTGGCCAGACTGGGTCCAGAAGGGGAACATCATCTACATAAAACCACTCCGAAGGCCAGCCTTCGGATGCCTTCTTTGGAGTGCCGGAGAGGTATCCGGCCTGGGCAACGCGCCATATTTTGACTCCGCCCACTTGATATATAGATCCCTCCTGATTGCGAGGGATGAGGCAGAATAGCCTCTTCCATAACTCGAAATGAGCTTCGCAGCCCAGAAATAGCTCACAGAGGGCAACGTAACCTGCGATGTGCAGTATGGAGGCAGGGGTGAAGTTATGCAGGTGGAGGCCGTAGAACTCCAGGAGCCCGCAGAGGAATGGGTGGATTGGAAACCCAAGTCCTCTCAGCAAATATGGGACAAGCCATATCCGCTCCCCCCTAGATGGGTTAGGAAAGTTTTCCGCTTGCTCCCCGCCGTTATAGGTGGCTAGTCCGGCTCGGACGGGGACCATATATGCAGGTGGAAGAAACCCTTGGGTCTGCAACTCTACTAAATGGCTATGGGGGACAGAACACTTTTTCCAATCACCCGGCGCAGAGCTACAGGAGCAAGAAGAGGAGCTGCGGCGACCGGCCATGATGGAATGGTTTTCCGGACGCGCTCTGTTGGATGCTTGCTTGGGGGGAGATGGTGAGATTTGGATCTGAGGATCCCCATCTCTTCAAATAGATGGTTCACTTACAGGGTTATGGTGGCAAATGTAAAAATGCCCCGGCTCCTCGTATTCACTCGACACATGGAGATAGCCGTTATTGAAGCACAGAAGCCGAGGAGTACGACATTAATGGGAAGCCGGACACTGTTCGCTATGACAGGTACTCTGGTTTTGGAGAAGAACCCACCTTGCAATGCCAAAGACAATCTGCGCGCCGGACTCATCGTCATTGAAGCATGGTTCAGGGTCTACTGAGGGAGTCCTGGATTAGGGGGTATCCGAACAACTGGACTATATACTTTGGCCGGACTATTGGACTATGAAGACACAAGATCGAAGACTTAGTCCCGTGTCCGGATGGGACTCTCCATTGTGTGGAAGGGAAGCTTGGCGATTCGCATATTAGATCTCCTTCTTTGTAACCGACTCTGTGTAACCCTAACCTCCTCCGGTGTCTATATAAACCGGAGGGTTTAGTCCGTAGGACAAGAACAATCAGAATCATAGGCTAGCTCCTAGGGTTTAGCCTCTACGATCTCGTGGTAGATCAACTCTTGTAATACTCATATCATCAAGATCAATCAAGCAGGAAGTAGGGTATTACCTCCATCGAGAGGGCACGAACCTGAGTAAAACATCGTGTCCCCTGGCTCCTGTTACCATTAGCCTTAGACGCACAGTTCGGGACCCCCTACCCGAGATCCGCCAGTTTTGACACCGACAGCGGCATCCGGCGGAGGGAGAGGTCAACACGGGCGTCGACTGGTACGGGGTCAACGGCTACCGGAGGAGGACGCCACGGGCACTCGCGCGAAAGTGCGACGAACCTCGAATCGGCAGTGCCTCGACGTCGAGGGGGGCCTCCTGGAGCCAGACCGAGTCGTCGGCAACGAAAGTGAGCGCGCCGAGTCGGAACTCGCGGCCCATGATCAAACTGCCGCCGGAAACCATGTTGATGAAGACTGAAGAAAATGCAACCTCGCCAGAAGTCGTTAAGACGCTTTGCCCCACGGTGGGCGCCAACTGTCGTGGTACTAAGACTGACAGTAAGAGTAGGGGTTACGTATGAGGAGGCAAGGCCCTAGCTACGGTGAGGTTGTACGCAAGTGTTTACGAGTTCAGGCCCCTCTCGGAGGAGGTAAAAGCCCTACGTCTCGGTGCCCGGGGGCGGTCGACTGAATTATAGTATGCGTGTGTGTTACAGGGGGTGCGAACCCTTGTGCCGGAGGAAGGGGGTGGCTTATATAGAGTGCCCCAGGACCCAGCCATCCCCCGTTACAGAGAGTTTAATGTACATAAAGAGAGGGCATTACTGATAATGCCAGCTATAAAGTGCTATTAATGATTTTGAAGACTACGGAGTGAATGCTTGACCGTTGCTGTTCTGTGCGACTCCTGGTCTTCAGTAGGTCGAGTGGTTTCTTGTATGGTCGAGTGATATCGGGAAGGAGGGGTACCCGAGTGATATGACTGGTCGAGTGGATTGCACTCGGCGTCTTCAATTGGTATTCTCTACTATCTCTGGGTGCCCTTACTTCTAGGATAGTGACCTTAGGTAGGGTGTATAGGTCAGGCTTGTGAGCCTACCCTAGGTCTATATCCTCATCATCGATCGATCATGATAACCCGAAAGACGAGACGAAGCGTCGGACCCGTGCTTATCCCGCGATCAAGGTGTTTAGGTGCTCATCGGCGACCGGGGCGTGGTGGTGGAAATACGAAATTTCGGACCAAATAGTAGTGTGTGCATTAACACCCCCACTTCCGCCTCACAAATATAAGATATTCTATTTTTTTTGAATCAGTCATGTATAGTCACGTTTTAGTGTGTTTGTTCGTTCATTTCAGTCCGTATTTAGTTTATATTAAAATATCCAAAACATCTCATATTTGTGAACGGAGGAAGTAGTTATGATCCACTGACACACAGATCATGCTGACTTATAGCGATAATGAGTTTGCCTTCCTCTGTTTTAGCCTCCTATTTTTTGGGGCAATTCTTCGTTCTACACAGTTTTGACGATCAAATTCTTACCGGTCGTGCTGGAGTGTCAATACATTTCGTGAAAGTACCAATAGAAAGCACACTGGGAACAATTTGTCATGATTTCTAACGTTCCTTTCATGCGTAAGTGGATAACCAATTAGCCATGCTCTCTACTGTCAAACGCCCTACAACGCGTCAACCCCGTGACCCACTAATTTAATCTAATTTCATGCGTATATATACGTACCTACTGTACTAATACTAAATTAGAAAACCGGAAAGGAAATTATTCATCGCAAAAAAAAAACAGAAAGGAAATCCGTGTGCGACATGCCGGGCATCGACACTCCCATCTAGTCCCAGTTTAGCTCCGTGCCGTGGCAACGCGGTCTCGCGATTTGCGTGCGTGCGTGCATGCGGTAATTGAGCCGGATTTGGATAAGTATAGATAATCCCGCCAACCTGTCCGTGCGAGCCATGCCATGGAAGTCTCCAGGCGCGACGGGGCTGCTTCGTTCCCTCCAGCTGTACGCCACTCCTGCACCCACCGCACGGGCCCGTACCCATGGACCGCCCTGGTAGCCCACAGCCATCATCAGCCCCGTGCAGCGGACCGCGTCCACGGACGTCCCATGTTAATGGCGGCAATTAATCCACATCATATCCAACCTGTTTAAACATTAAATCCCGAGTGGGGCGCGATATGGTCCCGACATTTACGAACGTGCCCTTCGAGATATTATCGCTGGCGCGCAGCGTCACCAACAGGTCCATCGAGAGGTAAAAAGCGTAATTACCGAGCACTTTCAGGGGGTAGAAACTAGAAGGAAACTAGAAAGGCAGCGTGAACTGCCCATGAAACCCTATCCACGGCCCATTAACCGCCCCCCTTCCTTCCCCCGGCTCGCCGTCTATTTATTCCCTTCGGCGACGCTTCCTCCGTCCTTCCGGTTCGTTTATTTATTTCCCCCCCTTTCCTTCTCCAACGACGCATTGCTTTTTCCTCAAGCGGGCGAACAAATTCCCAGAGGATTCCATTCGTGCGCGGGCGGGCGTGATCGCGAGCTTCCATTACGGGCGCGGAATCGGGTGCTGGTCGATCGAGGAGCTCCTTCGATTCGGGGATCGGCTTCTGCGCGGGATTCGGTTCCCATCTGCTGCTACAAAGGGTGTGCGGGGCGGGCCTCTGAGGTCGTTGCGACTGGAGGAGGCAAGGAGCCATGGGGGCGGGGGTCTCGAGCTTTTTCTTCGGCGCGGCGGCGGAGGCTGCGCCGGGTGCTGCGGGCCTGGGCGACCTGCCGGAGCTCTGCGCCGCGCAGGTGCTGCTCCGCCTCGACGCGCCGGAGATCTGCCGACTCGCGCGCCTCAACCACGCGTTCCGCGGCGCCGCGGGGGCTGACTTCGTGTGGGAGGCCAAGCTGCCGGAGAACTACCGCCACCTGATCGGGTACGTCGAGGGCGGGGGCGAGGAGGGCAGGCGCCGGCGGAGGCGGGCCGGGACCAAGGAGATCTACGCCAGGCTCTCCAGGCCCGTCTCTTTCGAAGACGGCACCAAGGTCAGATATTCTTCCAGAGGAAATATAGGTCCCTTTCCGTGTGCTTGTCTATGATTTTTTTTCCGTGTGCACCTCAGGGGATTGTCTATAACCAAATAGTGTCGTGCTTGAATCATTGTTCTTTTCCGGGTCTGATGTCTGAATCGTTACAAAGTTAATTAGTGTTAAGGGGGAGAACTCATGTATGTTTTTCTTACCGTAGCAAATAGTATGCACGTTTTGTTTTCTGAAAATACGTCACAAATTGGGGCCTGAATGCCTCATTTATTTTTTCTCTGAAATTTATAACAATTTCAGCACCGAAAACGCCCTTGGTTCCTTTTTATCTACGGCCTAGAACTATTTTTAGTGCTAAATGGCTTATATTTTGTGTGCTTTGTAATTGCAGGAATTTTGGCTAGAGAAGAGCAAAGGTAGGGTTTGTATGGCGCTATCCTCCAAAGCTCTGGTCATAACTGGCATCGATGACAGGAGATATTGGACACACATGCCGACCACAGAATCGAGGTAAAAATCCGATCTCGCACTTACCACAGTATATTCTTTTCAGTTTGTGTTAGAAAGATGTGATGTTTTGAGTTGCAACTTGCAATTAAATGCCGCAACAACATACTTAATGGTGAGATTGAGCTGTTCGTTGTTTGTGGTAGAAGATGGGAAATAGTACACGCCTACTTCTGCATGCTTCTTCCCCTGAGCACAAGAGGCATTTGAGAATTATGCACCTGTCCATTTAAACATGAAAATTTTGTCCGCTGTTCCCAACATACACACTACTATTAGTGGATGATTAGTTTTACATATGCTCATTCGCTTGCTGCTCTGGCAGACACATAAATTCAACATAGGCTAGTGATGATTGCTTTTATCTTATCAGCGCTATCAAAAAGCTAATGTAGACGCAGTCCTTCCAAATGATGGCAGTAGATATATGTACCTACTTTGTGCCTATGGAATATATCAGACTGTGATACCTCAAGCAAATGTTTACATCTGTGCAGTATCTTTCAATGTAATTATATTCTAACACAAATAGGATGCATGATGCCGTGTTCCTGGAATTGTTATCTGACCTATGCATACGCAATATGCTCATGCAGGTTCCAGTCCGTGGCATACCTTCAGCAAATCTGGTGGTTTGAAGTGGTTGGGGAGCTCGATTTCTGCTTCCCTGTGGGAACCTACAGTTTATACTTCAGGGTTCATCTTGGGAAGTTCAGCAAGCGGTTTGGACGCCGTGTTTGCAGCACCGAGCACGTCCACGGCTGGAACAAGAAGCCGGTGCGCTTCCAGCTCTCCACCTCGGACGGCCAGAATGCATTATCTCAATGCTACCTGGATGAGCCCGGGAGCTGGGTTCTGTACCATGCAGGCGATTTTGTTTCCACAAATCCCGGCCAGGCACTGAAGCTGAAGTTCTCGATGGCGCAGATTGACTGCACGCACACGAAAGGTGGCCTGTGCGTCGACTCGGTGCTTGTGTACCCCAAGGGCTTTCAGCAAGAGAAGGTGGTGACCGGCAAGATCTCAGAGATGCGATCGTCGTAGTTGTAGTGGTGGTGCTTGCACTGCTAGAGTTGTAGACAAACGCAGCTTGTAGCCCAATCCTATTATCAAGTTGGGCTCTGGTATGCAACGGATGAAACGTCTGTGTAAAGAACTGTAGTCTCAGGGTCTGTGTGGTCAGCTACGTCCGAGAGTGGTTTGTGTGTCGTCCCCATGGGTAATTTTTTTTCTCTCCCTGGTGCTAAATGAGACTTTGATGCTACGGATGAAACCGGTTGTGTTGAAATGAGATCATAGGTTTTGTTTCCATGTTCCTAGTTTGTGTTCCTTGTCAGAAACTTCTGTTTTCTTGCTGCTGTTATCCTAGTTTCTTTGGTACTACTCTCAATTCTGACTTGATTGTGTTGTTGGACTGGCCATGTTTCTTGGTCCAGTCAGATTTCTGAGCATAACTGCAAAATGCTACTGCTACTAATTGTATGACTGATCTATCTACTTCATGTTGTGCCAGTTCCCATTCTAGGACAGGCAGATTGCAAGTGTACATGATTAAGTAAGTATCGCGTGAAGGCAATAATACATGTCGCTGCCGCTCTATCCGTCTGGAAGGTTTCTCCAACCTTTCCAAAATGAATAAATAAGGTCTCGCCAAATTGGCATACATGGCTTTGTTCCGGTGTCTACACTATATTCAGCTGTCACATGCCCCTTGCAACTTAGAGTTGTTGATTCTCTCTTCTCTCTTTCATCGTCACCCCCACGATCTTCCTCGTTTGTTCACGGTCATCACCACGACCTTTCATTATTTTTTCATACATGAAAAGCATCTTCTTTTCGTATTTTTTCCCCTGAGGAATCAACGGTGGGGGGTCGCTGTCCCGGGTTAGATACGCAGAGGCACTGGTGGAGACGCTAGTTTTCTATCTCATCTCACGAATGCGATCACACACACCAATCTCGCATGGTTGACGTAGCTACTTCTTCTCTCTTTCACCCGATTTCTCCATGGAAACATTTGAATATGGCTTGTGCTTTTCATCAGACCTGTGGCCTGGGACGATGCTGCGCGCATGCGCCCGAGCCGGAGCCGGTGCCTGGGGAAACGGAAGGTATCCCATGACGCGGGTCTCGACTGGCGCATCGGCTTTCGGCGTGCCCAAGGTTTGGTTGGATTCGCTTTGGCGCCCGCCCCATTTTCTAGAGGTAATAGCATCCCAGGTATCCTAACTTGTACAGAATGTGATGATTCAGTCCTAAATTTGCAAAATTTGATTTCATCATACCCTAACTTGCACCTCATGTGATGATTTAGTCCCAGGCCAATCAGAGAACGACAATTGGCAGCCAGGTGGCTGGCCCGGTCAATGCACGCACTTTTG